TCAGATTTAAAGGAGGAGTGTTTGTGTGCATGGGTAGAGGATGGGCTGTAAAGCCATTGTAAGCTCATTTCAAGGTGTGAGTAGGCAATCAAATGTAAAACAACATACCTTGTTAAATCATAACATTGCGTTCTGTTGGTCATAACTGTAACCATGCAGCAGATGTGCGTTATACTAGCAAATAGGTCTTTTTACTAACCAGAATGACTGTAGGGGAAAAAAAGGAAGGTACTTCATCATTTTTTCAAGACTGAACTAAAAGGTGTCGATTGGCTCTACCAAGAATTGCCTTGGAGAGCCGTTCCAGGCTCTGTCCTGCTCTCACAGCACAGCGCTGTTTGTGTCACTCTTCAGTCGTGTGGGACGCTGACCCAGCAGCTCTTCAGCGGGAACTCATACACACGGGAGTTTGCTTACTCCTACCCCAGGAGGTAAATCTGCTTTGAATAAATGGTCCAAAGCCTGGAAAAATTAATTTGGGCATTTAGAGAGGATTCAGAAAATCAGCCGTACCCAGTGCTCAGGAAGTCAGGTATGTAAAAAAAACGCTCCAGCTGCGGAGCTGGTGAACCTCTAGACCTTCAGTAACATAAAGAAGGGTGCTAGTCGCTACCCACATCACATTTCTACAGGTTGAAAACCAGCTCTCAGGTTCTAGTCCATGTTGGATATTTGCAGTAAATAGCAAGCTTAGAACAGTTCAATGATCAAAACTATTTCAGTAATATGAATGTAGTTTAGATAACCCTGGTTTTTAAATGGTCATTTTATAAACAAGCCCAATGTTTTTAAATTTTTTAAAAATAATGTGTTGAACTGCTATGCAAATACTAAATTATTTATTTTTTTTCCTGTGCTATTTCCCTTTAAGAAATAAGTGCAACTGAATAGTAATCTCCTTATGGAGAACAGGCTACTTTGATATATGCATTGGAAAGCAAAACAAAGATCTAACAAAAAGAGGCGCTTCTGTAAAAAAAAATGAGCAAGTAACAATGCTGATACAGTTAAAAGGCAAGGGCTCTGTTCCTCAGTAAGTTTTTGGCACCTAGGTAGAACTTTTTGCAGAAGTAGAGACTTGGAAAGTATCTTCCAATGCGGGAGGCAGCAATTTCTTGAGCAACGTGGTACACGATAGGGCATCACAGATACATTCATGAATCCTTTGGATGGAGTTTCGGGAAGTGAAATTGGAGTGACACATTTTAACCTTATTACTGGAATTACAGCAACAGTTACTTTAATTACTGTTTCAGAAACCTAGTCATAGGAAGTGCCTCGGAGTAAAATTGTTTTTCCGTCTCTCGTGCCATGTTGGTCACAGCTGCTTCTGATTAAAGGGGAATGGGTTCTCAGTACTTAAGGGATTAATAAGAGAAGACAAACCATCTTAATTAATTAGCCCTGACATTTAAACTTCCTGAGAGCATGATGATGAGGAGAGTCATTAGAGAATGCAGAGAGGCAATATGAAAGCAAAAAAGTTGCAGGGTCGCTCGGTATTGATTGCAATACAGTCGCTATACTTTCTTCAATAAGGAGAGCGCTGCAGAGCGGCTCGACAGCACGGCAGAAGTTGATGGGCTCCTGCTGGGCCGTTTAACAGAACAAACTGCTTTTCAGTTGATAAAGTTGTTATGACTCAAGGTAGAATAAAGTGTTTTCAGTGAGCTTAAATATTAGCTGAATTATAGGTCACAAGAATATTTACTTAGCACCTAATGAACATAAAGTAAGTTACAAATCTAAGCAAGTTACTGCCACGCCATGCCACGCCGTGCCTGTGTGTTTGCTAAACACCTCTAGAAGCCTGAGAGCTTTCTTTTCCAGAAAGCTCTTTAAGATCCATAAGTCAGAGCTCAAGTAGAAATTAGGGTTTTGCACAGGGATGGATGGAAGTTGTGTTACAATCTCCAGACACCTACTGTCAGATACCTCGAATGAATACTGTCCAGCCACTGCAATTTACCATACTTGAATTCCTCCTTAACTTTCTCCCGGGGGATTAATATCTGTTA